TCTTCTGTACAGCAATGAGGATAAACCTCAGATCACGGACCCAGTCCGCATCATTGCTACTACCATCTTTCAACTTAGTTTTCTTTAGGAACGTATAAAAAACATAGGGAAGCTACAACGCGAGCTATTGATCTACAACATAATTTGCAAAATACTATCAGGACTAAGTTCATGATAAATTAAAGTTCAATTAATCATATTACTTAAGAACTCCCACTTAGATAGACATCCCTCTAATCATCTAAGTGATCACGTGATCCAAATCAACTAAACCATGTCCGATCATCACTTGAGATGGAGCAGTTTTCAATGGTGAACATCACTATGTTGATCATATCTACTATATGATTCACGCTCGACCTTTTGGTCTCAGTGTTCCGAGGCCATATCTGCATATGCTAGGCTCGTCAGTTTAATCTGAGTATTCTGCGTGTGTAAAACTGTCTTACACCCGTTGTACTTGAACGTAGAGCTTATCACACCTATCATCACGTGGTGTCTCGGCACGAAGAACTTTCACAACGGTGCATACTCAGGGAGAACACTTATATCTTGAAATTTAGTGAGAGATCATCTTATAATGCTACCGTCAATCAAAGCAAAATAAGATGCATAAAGGATAAACATCATATGCAATCAATATAAGTGATATGATATGGCCATCATCATATTGTGCTCGTGATCTCCATCTCCGAAGCACCGTCATGATCACCGCGCGACACCTTGATCTCCATCGTAGCATCGTTGTCGTCTTGCCAACTATTGCTTCTACGACTATCGCTACCGCTTAGTGATAAAGTAAAGCAATTACAGGGCGATTGCATTGCATACAATAAACCGACAACCATATGGCTCCTGCCAGTTGCCGATAACTCTGTTACAAAACATGATCATCTCATACAATAAAATTTAGCATCATGTCTTGACCATATCACATCACAAAATGCCCTGCAAAAACAAGTTAGACGTTCTCTACTTTGTTGTTGCAAGTTTTACGTGGCTGCTATGGGCTGAGCAAGAACCGTTCTTACCTACGCATCAAAACCACAATGATATTTCGTCAAGTTAGTGCCGTTTTAACCTTCTCAAGGACCGGGCGTAGCCACACTCGGTCTAAAGTTGGAGAAACTGACACCCGCCAGCCACCTATGTGCAAAGCACGTCGGTAGAACCAGTCTCGCGTAATCGTACGCGTATTGTCGGTCCGGGCCGCTTCATCCAACAATACCACCGAACCAAAGTATGACATGCTAGTAAGTAGTATGACTTGTATCGCCCACAACTCACTTGTGTTCTACTCGTGCATATAAATCTACGCATAAACCTGTCTCTGATACCACTGTTGGGGAACGTAGTAATTTCAAAAAAATTCCTACGCACACGCAAGATCATGGTGATGCATAGCAACGAGAGGGAAGAGTATTGTCCACATACCCTCGTAGACCGAAAGCGGAAGCATTAGCACAACGCGATTGATGTAGTCGTACGTCTTCACGATCCAACCGATCCAAGTACCGAATGTACGGCACCTCCGAGTTCAGTACACGTTCAGCTCGATGACGTCCCACGAACTCCGATCCAGCAGAGCTTTGCGGGAGAGTTTCGTCAGCACGATGGTGTGATGACGGGGATGATGGTGCTACCGACACAGGGCTTCGCCTAAGCACCACTACGATATTACCGAGGTGGAATATGGTGGAGGGGGGCACCGCACACGGCTGGGACAGATCAACAAATCAACTTGTGTGTCTAGAGGTGCCCCCTGCCCCCGTATATAAAGGAGTGGAGGAGGGGGGGAAGGGCCGACCCTCCTATGGCGCGCCCTGGAGGAGTCCTACTCCCACCGGGAGTAGGATTCCCCCCCTTCCAAGTAGTAGGAGTAGGAGTCAAGGAAAGGGAAAAGAGAAGAGAAGGAAGGAGGGGGCGCAGCCCCTCCCCCTAGTCCAATTCGGACTAGGCCTTGGGGGGCGCGCAGCCTCCCCTCTCTCTTTCCCCTAAAGCCCAATAAGGCCCACATACTCCCCGGCGAATTCCCGTAACTCTCTAGTACTCCGATAAATACCCGAATCACTCGGAACCTTTCCGATGTCTGAATATAGTCGTCCAATATATCGACCTTTACGTCTCGACCATTTTGAGACTCCTCGTCATGTCCCCGATCTCATCCGGGACTCCGAACTACCTTTGGTACATCAAAACACATAACTCATAATATAAATCGTCACCGAATGTTAAGCGTGCGGACCCTACGGGTTCGAGAACTATGTAGACATGACCGAGACACATCTCCGGTCAATATCCAATAGCGGAACCTGGATGCTCATATTGGCTCCCACATATTCTACGAAGATCTTTATCGGTCAAACCGCATAACAACATATGTTGTTCCCTTTGTCATCGGTATGTTACTTGCCCGAGATTCGATCATCGGTATCTCAATACCTAGTTCAATCTCGTTACCGGTAAGTCTCTTTACTCGTTCCGTAATGCATCATCCTGCAACTAACTCATTAGTCACATTGCTTGCAAGTCTTATAGTGATGTGCATTACAGAGAGGGCCCAGAGATACCTCTCCGACAATCGGAGTGACAAATCCTAATCTCGAAATACGCCAACTCAACAAGTACCTTTGGAGACACCTGTAGAGCACCTTTATAATCACCCAGTTACGTCGTGACGTTTGGTAGCACATAAAGTGTCCTCCAGTATTCGGGAGTTGCATAATCTCATAGTCATAGGAACATGTATAAGTCATGAAGAAAGCAATAGCAATATACTAAACGATCAAGTGCTAAGCTAACGAAATGTGTCAAGTCAATCACATCATTCTCCAATGATGTGATCCCGTTAATAAAATGACAACTCATGTCTATGGCTAGGAAACTTAAACATCTTTGATTCAACGAGCTAGTCAAGTAGAGGCATAGTAATGACATTATGTTTGTCTATGTATTCACACATGTACTAACTTTCCGGTTAATACAATTCTAGCATGAATAATAAACATTTATCATGAAATAAGGAAATAAATAATAACTTTATTATTGCCTCTAGGGCATATTTCCTTCAGATAGGCCGCCAAGGCATCCTCCTCTAGTGTCTGCTACGGCGGCGACATTGAGGCGAGGCGGGCGCACTCCTCCTTCCCCTCCTTCTCCTCCTCCTCCTCAAGGCATAGTGCCTCCTCGTCATGGCGCAAATCCTCCTCCCGGCGCATCCGCCGCTCACCGTCGGCCTCCTCCTCGGTGAGCCAATGCACCTTCCAACGCTCAAGGTGGGCCGCCTCCTCCTCTGTCGTCGCAGCGCATGCTCACCCACTCGCATAACTCGCCGGTCCACGAGTAGGACTCCTCGGGCCAAGTGGGCGGCGACGACGACCGCTTTCTGCATGGGCGTGGGCTCGGTCTCGGCCTTGGGCTCGACGAAGGGGCGGTGGCGGCGTTGGTTGCGGGACAAATGGTGGAGCGTGGACGGTGTCCCCTGCCGCCGACAAGGCGAGGCGTGGTCCAACCCATCCCAATGGGCATCCTCCTCAAGCCGACTCGGCTCTAGCGCGTGCTCCATGGCCTCCTCGAGGCTGGCTTGGCATGCCACCTCCTCCTCTGGCAAAACCTCTTGAGGCGGTGGGGGAACGTCGTGGTCGACGTGGACAACGCGGCGGCACTCCTCCTCGTGCTCTAGCGTAAACCAGCGCTCCCAGTTGGGGGAGTCTGGCGCGTAGGCATGCATCGCGTGCTGCTCCGACGTAAGGAGCTCGCGACACCGGCGAACCTCCTCGGCGTGCACGTGCGCCGAGCACGGCACCGCTGGAATGGGGATCCAGTGCGGGTCCAGATGCCAGCCGTGTGGCAGGTTGACATCCGGATACTTCAGGGCCCGACGGTACTGCCAGTGCCACCGCGCCTGGTGGACTGGTATATACAGCCGCTCCCGCTCTCGCGATGGCGAGCCGCGTCTAGCCGACGAAGGAGGAAGCGCGCGGGAAGAGCTCGTGTCGGAGCTGAACTTCCCCTTTCCCCTTCCCGCTGAAGAAGCCCATGGCAGGTGGCTGGCTGGTTAGGGTTTTAGGCTGGCTGACTAGGGCTTTTTGGTCGCGGCGAGGAAGCAAGCATGGCCGGATGTGGACGAGGAGATGGAAATGAATGAGGTCGGCCCCGTCGCATGCTTTCTTTCATAAGGACGGGCACACGGCAATTTCACATACTGTCAGGCGTGCCCGGGGTAGGTGCTGGTGTTAAATACGATCGCAGGTGGTTATTGAGCGGTTCGAACAACAAGGGGACATGCGGCGTGTCCGCTTCGTGTCCGCGCCGACACATTTAAGGCTCAAATTTTGGCCTGAAATGCAACGGCGCGGACACGAAGCGAACGTGTTTTGGTTTTACGTCGGCGTTTTGGGCCGGCATTTTTCTCGCGGCAATCTAAACAGACATGTGCGGACGAAATGGCCCGCGCCATTGGAGTTGCTCTAACGGCTAGGAGCAGGCCCCGTTCCGTTCCGTGTAATTTTTGTTGGGTCTGTAAATGACACATCTAGACGTGACATAGTTATATCACATCTAACCTGATGTCCATTATGTTTGTAGTATATATTTTGTTTGAGCTTCTTTTTTTGTTCTTTGTTACTGCGTTATTTGTGAGAGCTCAGCTGGATGTTAGACAAACTGTCTTTTGTTCGTACTCTTGTGTGTGCTATAAAAACCGCGGCCCTTCCGGCGCAGCAGCCGCGCTCCTCCGCCCCCCGCGCATCTCCGTCCGTTTACCCACAAGTTGACCCCCGCCTGCGACGACGCCCGTCCCCGGCCCACGCGCGCCTCTCGTTCCCAGAGCCCGAGGCGGACCACACAACAGGAGCCAGCGCGCGCGCGCTCCTGCCCGGCCCGACGCCACCAGCCTACGAGCGAGGCACCGCCATTCCCGGCCTGCGAAACCCAGGACCGTCTCGTCTGACCACTCCCCTGTTCGCCGCCAGTGATTGCCCCCCGAGCCGCCTGATCTCATGGCCGTCGCGAGGCTGGTGGCCGCGCCATTCCCCCTCGCCGCCGCCCGCGCCCGCGGCCCGCGGGCGCGGCTGCCGTTCGCGCCGCTCTCAGCGCGGCCCCTCTCCCGGCGCGCACTTGTGCCCGCTCTGCAGGTGGCGTCGGAGGGCAACGGCGGCGGCCTCGTCCCCGCCCGCCCGGACCAGGAGGCGGAGGACGCGGCGACGGCGCTGGCGCTGGCGCGGGTCGCGGTGTCGGAGCGCGCGGCTAGGAAGGAGTCGGAGCGGCGGACGTACCTGGTGGCCGCGCTCATGTCCAGCCTCGGCATCACCTCCATGGCCGCCGCCGCCGTCTACTACCGATTCGCCTGGCAAATGGAGGTATTGTACCACGGCAATTCCCCTTTCGAATTTCGCTTCTTTGTCTTGCCGGTGTTCACACTGCTTTCCTTTCACCACCAGGGCGGCGAGATTCCGGTGACGGAGATGCTGGGCACCTTGGCACTGTCCGTGGGCGCCGCGGTGAGTGCTTGCTTACACGTGACACACGGCGCACCCACCCACACACCAGTAGCAGCAGTGAACAGAATTCGTCGTGTCGATGTGCATTCCGGCTGAAAAGAAAGAGCGTATTGCGTGCTCTCGTGTGCGCAGGTGGGGATGGAGTTCTGGGCGCGGTGGGCGCACCGGGCGCTGTGGCACGCGTCGCTGTGGGACATGCACGAGTCGCACCACCTCCCCCGCGACGGGCCCTTCGAGCTCAACGACGTGTTCGCCATCGTCAACGCCGTCCCGGCCATGGCCCTCCTCGCCTTCGGCTTCTTCAACCGCGGCCTCGTCCCCGGCCTCTGCTTCGGCGCCGTGAGTACCACCGCTCCCTCCCCTTCGTCGATTACTTGAGAAGAAGACAACGATTGCCAGCAGCACTTTGTGGTGTCGCGCTGTGATCGCGACGGCGGCATGTCGTCGGCGGCGCCCATGCGCGGCACCTATCAGCCGCGGTGTGACGCATGATTAAACGGATTTCATACAGTATTTTGTGCCTCGCATGTGAACAAATTTTGTGCGTATCCCAGCCAGCGCTGACGTGCCGGTGCCCTGCAGGGTCTCGGGATCACGCTGTTCGGGATGGCCTACATGTTCGTCCACGACGGCCTGGTCCACCGCCGCTTCCCAGTGGGCCCCATCGAGAACGTGCCCTACTTCCGGCGAGTCGCCGCCGCGCACCAGGTTCGCCCTTCCGCACCCAACCCAACCAACTGTTGTATCCGAGTTTCAGTTCTGAACTCTGGCCCTTTTATGATTTGCAGATCCATCACATGGACAAGTTCGACAGCGTGCCATACGGGCTGTTCCTCGGCCCCAAGGTAAGCAGCAGATCAACCACTCTGGTCCAATGTTGTTGATCCATGGCAGGATTTGCATGGAAACCGGGATCGCTCGTGGTTGATGGTTTTGCAATTGCAGGAGCTGGAGGAGGTTGGAGGGACGGAGGAGCTGGAGAAGGAGGTGCAGAGGAGGATCAGGAGGAGGCAGAAATCAGACGCCATGCAGTGAGGATGCATGCTAGCTGGAGTACTTACTCTTTTTTGTTTTTGATAACATGCCAGCTCTTACCTGCCTTGCAATATATAGTATATATGCAGATTTTTTTCCTCTTCTTCTGATTGGGATTAGATTTTGTGTCACTAGTTTAGTAGCCGGAAACGAAGGCGAGGTGCGTGAGGCCGGTCCGTGGAGCACACCGGTATTAGAAAAATGGCGTGCTAGTGATATGTGTAGTACTGTGTCCATTACTATTGTTATATCTTGCTGTATCGTGCTGCTGACTGTAGTGAGACACTACTAATATACAGCTAGTAGTAAAAAGCTTTGTATACTATGGCCACCACGAGTGCGTGCTATTTAACAGATCCACGTGAGTGGCCCAGGCCAGACAGCAACCTAACGCACGGCAGGTAATACGGTTACCGGCCGTGTCCCGATGGAACATGCGACCTCGGGCGCCGAACATGCGAAGCGGGCCAACGACTGAACGACACGACGGTGATACTGTTTGTCCCTCAGGGAGCTCCGATGGGGCCTTTTACAGATCAGGTCGTGTTGCTTCTCCATTTCAGTGATCTGCACCGGCTCGGGCCTGCATGTTACCCGGCCGTTTGTGCGTTGCCCGGGCGGGGGTGGGGGGAACGCATGTGGCCGGGATCCTCCTCGCGATACGCTAGCCGGTGCCGCGGTCGCCTCCCGCGTCCTGCCTGCCGGCCGGCGGGTCAATGCATGCAGAGTGCTGCTACACACACGACGGTTGTGGACGATCTCCGCACGATGAAGCACATCAATCCGTCCATGCGTCGATTCAAAGTGAACCTACACCGTTAAATACTCCATCGTGCACAGTTCGTCCGGCTATTGTCGTCCACACAGCAGTTTCGATGCATGCAGGGGATAAACTATGCGAATCTACTATGTGGACGATGGAGGATTGAACGGCGCTCTTCAGTCTTGTCCTAAACTGCGCCATCGATCCTGTTTTTATTTGATGTATAGCTCATGAAACGGAGCCGAATGAGTCAAGAGTTACTGCGACTCTCAACGTGGAGAATCGCGCACGAGGACCCAAGATAGGAGCAATAATATCCCACGAGAATGGGTCTGAATCAACGTGAGTTCTGTGTAAGCCGCGTATTGGTTTTAGAGCATCTTCAACAGCCGCGCTGAAAAAATACAGTTTTTTGCGCGTGCTCCAGTGGAGGCGTAAAAACCGGCGCGTGTGGTATAAGTGTTTCAGCGTGCGGAACGAAACGGCATCGCACATCGCTTATTTCGTGCGCCCGCACCCGCGCGCTGCACACTTGAGCGTCTGTGTCGCTTTCGCCCCGCCCGCGTTGCCGTCGGCGAATTTGCCCGATGGACGGCCGCACCAACATCCCCCTCACCCCATCCTACACCCGCGACCCCTCCGCCGCCGCCGGCGGCGGCGGTGCAAACCCTAGCGCATGGAGTGTTAGAATAAATCCGAGGCACTCCGTTGATCATTCGAGGACCAAGCAATCACACGAGCACGCCACCGAGATTTGTTAACGAGGTTCACCGATATGGCTACATCCCCGGGGCTTGACTACGGGCGCTCCTCCCCATGACACCGTCACAATACCGCACATCGGCCACCCGGGCGCCAGCACACGCCGCCGGCTCCCCCTTGCGCGCCTGTGCTATTATGTTGGCATAGGTTACATCGTGTGTCTACCCTCGGTATATAAGAGAGGCCTAGGATATAAGTGTCCTACTAGGACACAACTCCATATCCTATCTAAACACAATACAACTACAAGTCCAACTGTAACCTACCTCGTACACTATATTCGACACAACTCCAACAAACTTCACCTTGGCGAATATACTCCACCACCCTGAATTTGTCCATGCGTCAAACTTCCATGTACATTGGACTTGAGCTTATCCCATGAGTACCGCTGCTACTCCAAAGACTCCATGCGACTCCACCTGCAACTTGTAGTCCCTTCTTTTCTTGACCATGGTCAACACTCGAGCAAAATTAAGTTCCTTGTTACTCTAGCTTGTGCTCCCAACTTCCAGAGTACCCGTCCAACGCCATCACACACTGACCACTGACCTGCGTGAAAGTGAACAACTCACATAATGGGTGTCACACAAAGAATTACCTGAACTCAACATCACCGCTCCTTTCTTGACCGTCTGTCTGAAACTTGAAGGAATTTCACCGTTGCTTGTAGTCATCCCAAGTCAAATTCACAGTTGTCTCACCACATGTATGGCCACCAGAGCCCTGGCCCGTCTCCATGTCCGTGCGTACCGCATGCCTCGCCGCTATTACCGCGTCGAGCCTCCGCTGTCCCGGTCGGGCCTCAAGGGTCGCGAAACCACACCACTCAACCCCCACTGCAGAGTACCATCGATTATCACCGACCGATGACGAGTTTCACGCTTCCATCAGACCACTGGGCTCCAGTCTGAACTACATGTCACCCGCTTTTTCCCGCCTGAATAGGCCTCGGCCCCGTCGACTTACGCCGTAGCCCCTCAATCCAGCTCCACCTTCAACATGACTCCATGATAGATGATCAATCCACCCCTGCGCCTCATCGACTTCATGCTCCGTGTATACACCACCTTGAATCAATCCCGCGCCACAGTCTTGTGGAAACCACACAAGCCCTCAGGCCTGCGCCATGTGTTTCCACGCCCCAGAAGTCGGTCACCATCAGCATCACACACCTATGTCGTCGTCGCTGATTCCACCACCGTCTTCTGTACCAACCGACTCACGTCGATCCGTCAGACTGTCTAGTCCACCCAGGCTCCTAGATCATCTTCTACGCCATTTCCATCCATCACATGATAATTCCATCTTAGCTGACATGAGTTCCTGCAATGCCTTCAAGCATCCACGTTGCGCCAACAAATCTTTCATCCTTGTTTGCCATAACCCAAGGTTTTCAGTTCCGTGAACTTCTCCACCTCAAACCTGGTACCCGTTGGCGCCATGCTCCTTTGTATGACCGACCATGTCAAAGAAAATATCTGAGCTTTCCACACAATCCCCAAGTACACGGACCGAATCTCCACGTACTAATAGCAAAACAAACCAAAGAATCACTCTTGGCCTTCATGTGGTGTCTCCCGTGGCTCAACTCCAATGCTAGCTTTGCATAGCTAAAGCCCTTGCCTTCCCGATGGATGAACACAATCAATGATGAATTATTTTCTACAGATCTGATCTGCTCTGCCTCGTGCCTGTGTCTCCCTTACAGGCTGATATTAAGCCGCCACAGAGACGAGGAGAACACGACTCCTCCTGGGACTCGGTCCCCTTTTTCTTGTCCAAAACAAAATCTCAGGAACGGCTGCAGCTTGCACTTCCGTACACCATGCCTCGTCCACGCCTCCGCTCCTTGAGCCTGCGTCTGCCTCTAGCGCCTGGCCCCGAGGCCCCGCCAGCTTTTGGACCTCTGCACCTGGGCTGCTGCCTGGGGCCAACATAGCCCTTGGTGCGTAGCGCCTTCACACGTCGCGGGTGTCGGTGTCAAAACTGGCGGATCTCGGGTAGGGGGTCCTGATCTGTGCGTCTTAGGCTGATGGTAACAGGAAGCAAGGGACACAATGTTTACCTAGGTTCGGGCCCTCTCGATGGAGGTAAAACCCTACTTCCTGCTTGATTAATATTGAAGATATGTGGAATACAAGAGTAGATCTACCACGAGATCGTAGAGGCTAAACCCTAAGAGCTAGCCTATGATGGTATGATTGTAATTGTGATCGGCCTTCTAAGGACCATCCTCTCCGGTTTATATAGACACCGGAGAGCTAGGGTTTACATGGAGTCGGTTACAAGGAAGGAAACATAATATCCGGATCGCCAAGCTTGTCTTCCACGCAAAGGAGAGTCACATCCGGACACGAGCTGAAGTCTTGAGTCTTGTATCTTGACGATTTCACAGTCCGGACGATGTATATAGTCCGGCTGTCCGGATACCCCCTTATCCAGGACTCCCTCAGTAGCTCCTGAACCAGGCTTCAATGACGATGAGTCCGGCGCACAGTCTTGTCTTTGGCATTGCAAGGCGGGTTCCTCCTTCCTAATACTCCAAGGTTATCATCGAACACGTAGACTATGTCCGGATCTGCAAAATGATCTTCACATACCACCATAGAGAGAATGATACTCCAGCTGACAACTTTTAGACGACGTGACATGCCATTAGAGCCAGGTCATTATTCGAACCGTTTTTTCACAACCAGCCATAGCACGCATTGCGAGGCGGTTTCCTTGACACGTCTTGTCAAAGCAGAGATCATGTCCCCTTATCACGGGATTCTCATCAATACGGGTATGGGTAATCCCCCCGTGCCATCAATCGTGGCGCTTGGGAAGTAAGCGATTCTCATCAGGCTAGTGGGGAGGCGCTCCACTTTCGTTGCCTCTATTAAAGGGATAAGAGTTCCTCATTTTTACCCACGCCTTCTTCCTCCCCTCGCATACTCTTGCCCCCTCGAGCTCCAGCGCCCTAGTCGAGGTCTTCTCCGCACAGTTAGTCATGTCCGGAGCAGGAGGCAAGTGGGTGGCTTCCACCGTGACGGAGAAGAAGATCGCGAATCTCCGGGCGGCCGGATACTTGGCTGCAGACATAGCGCACCAGCTACCAGACGAGGGGCAGGTCATTCCAACTCCAGGACCCCGCGAGAGGGTCGTGTTCCTTGCCCATTTCGTCCGTGGACTGGGGTTTCCACTCCACCCCTTCGTCCGCGGGATCATGTTCTACTACGGGCTAGATTTCCATGATCTAGCCCCAAACTTCGTCCTCAACATCTCGGCGTTCATCGTCGTGTGCGAGGCTTTCCTCCGCATCAAGCCCCATTTTGGCTTGTGGCTGCAAACCTTCTGCGTGAAGCCAAAGATCGTGAGCGGCGAGCAGGCGGAGTGCGGAGGAGCCATGGTGGGCAAAATGCCTAACGTCACCTAGCTTGACGGCTCCTTTGCGGAAACCGTGAAGGGGTGGCAATCGGGGTGGTTCTAC